GAGGGAGGGAGCGGGAGCACCTGTTGCCGTGCCTCAGCGGAGCCGGCGAGAGGGCTCTTGAGGAGGCTGGCGGTGGGGGGCGCGCCCGGCCTCGGGAGCGCCCGGTGCAGCCGCAGCGGGGGCCCGCGGCGCAGCGGCGGCGGCGGCTGGAGAGGCCGCTGCAGCGCCTGCGCCATCCGCTGCTGGGCGAGGAACGGCGCGGCGACGGCGGCTGCGCGGCGCGGGTCCATCCGGTTGAGCTCCGCGCCGGAGTAGCCTTGCGCACGCGCCGCCACGGGGTCGAGCATCGGACCCGGCCCCGGCGGACGGCGGCCAAACACGCCCGAGCGCCGGGCCTCGCGCCTCGCGTCGGCAGAGCCAAAGCGGCCGCCGAAGCCAAAGCTGGCTTCGACGCCGGCAGCCGCCGGTCGCGCCGCGAGCGCCGCCTGGAAGTGCGGCCGGGCGTGCGCCAGCGTCGGCCGGAAGACGAGCGAGGGTGGGTCAACAACGAAAACGAGGACTGCTGCCATCCTTCGAGATCTTCGAAGTCATCAGAAGCTGGAAGAGCCCTCCAGAAAGAAAATCTTTATTCACTCACTCACGCGCGATGACGGTCACACAGGAGCGACACACAGAACCACAAGACAAGACACTCAGCCAAACTGACTGCCACACATCCTGAGCGAACTTCCCTAGTCACCCGCGGCCGGACTCCATCCGGCACGCGTCGCTGGGCGCTCAGAGCCGCGTCCCCTGCGAGGCCCTCTACGCTGGGGTCGGGTTTTTTTTTCGGGTCCCTCAGCTGTCTGTAGCGGCGCAACTCACCACTGTCGCTGCGCCGATCGCTCACCGTGCTGTCGCTGCGCCGATCGCTTCGCCCCTTGGCGGCGAGGGCCGCGATGGACTTCGCCGCCACCCAGAACTTCTGCGAGGGCGCCACCCAAAACTTCTGCGACGGCGACGAGAGCGACGAGGAGGACAAACCACAGTTGATCCGGCTCCTCGACGGTGGTAACGCTGGGGTGACCATGCTCCCGTCTGTCGACGGCGGCGTCCTATCTATCGGGCGCGCCGCGAGCGACGACGGAGCGTCCGCTCTGCTCCTGACCGACGAATCGCAGCCACAGCCGCCCAAGGTCTCCGCTCGCCAGGCAGAGGTGCGCCTGGTCAACGGCGCCTTCACCCTGCACGTGTTGAGCAGTGCGACATTCACGTTCGTCAACGAGCAGCACTACATCAAGCCCGGGGGCGGGTCGCCCCCCGCCGTCTCGCTCTTCCACGAAGACACGCTGCGCTTCGGTGGCGGCATCAAGGCATCCCAACGCTACGACAAGTTTGTGTTTAGGGTCCACGCGCCCGAGCACCCCCGCCCCGGCAACAATGGCGTCGCTGCAGCTGCGCAGGGTGGCGTCACTGGCGAGATGCCGATCGTGGCGGAGCAGATTGGCAGCGGCGAGGGAGATGGCGAGTGGGCGAAGGCTAGCCTCCTCCTCCCGGCCGTCGCCACCGAAGCGGCGATCGCTGCGCCCAGCGCTGCCACGTCTTCAGAGGCACCGAGCGCGCCAGCAGCCTCGCTCCTGGGAAAGCGAGCCGCACCGGCGTCGGATGTCATGCTGGGTGCGGCAGCGGGTTGCGCGGTCGCGGGTGGCGCGGTCGCGGGTGGCGAGCCGGCCAGCACAGAGTCGGCATCGGCAGGCCAAGCCTCTGTGGCAGGCTCAGCGGGGCGTGAATTTCAGGTGGCGACGCTTTCTAGTTCGGCCCGAGGCGTCGAGCGCGGCTTCAAGGTGCGTTTCAGTGCGCGCGGGCCCGAGCAGGCCGGCTGGTCTTCGGTGCTGCCGCCAGTGCTCCAATTCGCGGTGGTCAAGCGGGAGTCGATCACGCCGTCGCTGCAGCGCGTGGCGTTCCGTCTGACCGACCTAGCGGGCGAGTTCGAGCCGTGGCTCAAGTTTGTGCGCTCGTCGTCGTCGCGGTGCGGGTGCATGCAACTGCCGGGCGGCGCAAGCGTGATCACCACGGCTGTTGTCGGCAGCGAGCTGGCGTGCGAGCTAGTCGGCGGCGGTGGGGCACTGGCCGAGATGGAGCGGCAGCTCGCCGCCAAGAGCCGCGCAATGAGCGAGCTGGCAGCGGAGCGAGACGCCGAAGCAGCGGCCCGCAAAGAGGCCGAGGAGAGGGCCGTGGAGCTGCAGCAGGAGGTAGAGGAGTGGGAGAACCTCTCGCGCGACGCAGCGACGATGCGCGAAGGCATGGGGCAGCAGGCGGACTGCGGACCGGGCGAGCTGACGCAGCAGGTGGACGATCTGTGGTCGGTTGTCGAGGAGCCCGGCGACGAGCTGCGCCAACGCGACCAGGTGACACCTGCCCCCAGCTCAAGTCCCCTCCGCGCCGCGTGCGCGCGCACACATGAACGCCCTCCCCGCTCGCAGCGGGCCTCGTGTGCCTCACACACCGCGCATTCTGCCCCCCGGGCACACCCACCCACCCACCCTCCCACCGCGCACTGGCCTGGCGCTACCCACAGGAGCTCATGCGAAAAGTGCGGCTGCTGCTGGAGCGAGCACTAAACAGGACCTTCGACGGAGGGCGCGCCGTCCCCACTGGCTTTCGCAAGATGGCGCTGCACGACAAGCTAGGCTCGCTCCGCGCAAGTCGCAACATCCCCGATTCTCTGTTCAGCGTTGCGCACCAGCTCCGCCTCGTGGGGAATGTCGCTTCCCATGACACGGACCACCCCCACCCTCCGCGCGGCCAGCTGCTCGATTTGGTGGCCAGCCTTAAGCAGGAGATGATCCTGTGTTCCCGCTCGAGGGTGCGCAGCGCTAGATTCGCATGGAGGTGTTCGTTCGGGTTCCGTCGATCTAAAAAAGAACGATATTAAGTTATACGACACGTGCGTCGGCCCAACCCCAGGCTCGAGCCGCTCGGGAGACGCGACGACTCTCTCTCTCAGCGTCTGGTCTCCAGGTGCCCGCCTCCTCTCGCGCCTGCCCGCGGGAGCGCGGGAGCGCCGGGGACCGGGGCGGAAGGCTTTTGGGGCCCCACCTCGGCCGAGGGTCCCGAGATCTGCGCTTGGGGTAGAGGGGGGGGGGGGGGAACAGCAACAGGACACGGCCGTGTTCTGAGGTTTTCAATGCATGTGGCTCTTACGTACATTCGTTTTGGAATGCGGTTTGCCGCCGACAACTGGTGAACCTCAGCCTCGCTCTCAATCCTAGAAGTCGAAGGATTATGAGCAGAGCTGCTCGCAACCCTAGACTTTGCTCGGATTGCGAGCGCGCTGGTAGACTAGTTAGTAGTCATAGGCGTCACCAATCACCTTGTGAGCGGAGCTGCTCTTAGTCCTAGATGACGTAGGATTGCGAGCGTAGGCGCTCACAATCGCACAGAGATGCTACGATTGCGAGGAGTGCTGCTCACAATCCTTCGACTTCTAGGATTGAGAGCGACTCATAGAAAAGAATTTTACAACAAAAGGCGGTCCGCGCACGAAAAGAATTTTACAACAAAACTCCCTCGCACGACACTGGGCACGGGACTGGCGCGCACTGGCACTAACACAGGTACACGCTACACCACGGGAGCCGCCTAAGCGACTCCTGCGAGGGCTGAGGGGTGGCCCGTCTACCGTCTACCGGTAGACCGGGTAGACGGTAGACCGTTTGGTAGACGAGTCTACCGCAGTCTACCGGTAGACCGTAATGAACCTACGACACCAGTCTACCGGTAGACTTGGTAGACCGCGGTAGACTCGTCACTTGGAGAGAGAGAGAATTCTTGATACGAAACCACGACGACACACACCAGTCGACTCGCATCGGTTGCCTCCATGAACGGCGGAGCTATTCTCGCGTCCACACCACACCTGGCTCCAACGTGGACACGCCCATAGCTGGGGACACTACTAGGTCACGCATGGCATCAGAAGTTTTATCTCTGGGCCCCGAAAGGCATCTCTAGCAGCGTCGTTACGCATGCGCCCTCCCCTCCTGGGCGCATACGCCTCACGTCTCGACAGAGCATAAGCCCTTGGTGTGCCACGAGACGAGTTTTTCGCCATCGCCGCGAGCAGCAAGCCGCCCGCCGCAAACAGCCGGAGGCATCGCCGCAGCACTGTCTGCGCTGCGCTCCCGCACCCGTCGACGAAGCTCCCCCCGCGGAAGACCGCGCGTAGCGACGCCTTGTCGTTCGAGATGAGCGCGCTTGAAGCCCGCCCACCTACTGCCCCTGAGAGTTGGTTACCGAGTGGGATCAGCTCCCCCCCTTGGGATCGAAGCTTCCACGACCTCGCACCCAACACCACAGGCGGGATCAGAGAGAGACTCCGCACCGGACACCGCCCGGGCACAGACCCCCTACCCGTCGGACAATGCCTGGACCCCTCACAGAGCGGCCCACACACAGATCACGCATCGGCAGATTTCACGCCTGGATCAGGCGTAGACAGCACACACTGGTCACAGTTGCATAGCCCTGCCGGGGGGGACGAGTTCGCAAGGTTAATATTAAAGAATACAAAGTGGTGACAACCACTGAGTTCTCAGTGGACGACGAGCGTCGACTGAACAGAAGAGCGTCCCCGCGACGCCTCGGTGCCTCCCACCGGGTGTGACCATCCGGATCTGCCCAGCCCGCCCTCCGGACAAGCTGGTCCCCGCGATGGCCCACAGTCCGCCGTCACCAGGTTGAGCCCCCTCCCCCCCCAGTCCTCGTACTCGACCACGATCCTCTCGACCTCGTACTTCACCAAGCCTCCTCCCCACTATTCCGAATCTGATCCTCCTCTCTCTCTCTCTCTCTCTCTCTCCATCACTTGGAGCACTTGGAGTGCAGTCATTAGCCTACCACTTTTTCAGCCGCCGAACGGTAGACCGCCGCCGCCGGACGGTAGACCGCCTCGGCCAGTTGAATATGCAGCCTCCAGTTCTCCACTCTGGCGCCACTTTGGCAGACGAGCGCCGGCAGATGCCCTCGCGGCCTGCCGGCGAACGTCCGTCCGGCGAGAACGCGCGATGAAAGTGCGGTCTGCCGCGCGGGCGAAATCTGCCGGTGAGAGAGCTGTTGAGCGCGGTCGCTGTGGGCTTCACCTCATCGCCATTTCCGTGCGAGCCGCGCTCCGTGTCTTTTATGAGATCAAATGAACGTCTTTACACGCTCATCGGGCGGCACCGCTCACTGCAGAGCGCCGCCCTCTCGCGGCTCTCGAGAGCGAGTTTTCGCCAGACAGCCACACGTCCATTATGGCGCGCGTTCTCGCCGGACGGACGTTCGCCGGCAGGCCGCGAGGGCATCTGCCGGCGCTCGTCTGCCAAAGTGGCGCCAGAGTGGAGAACTGGAGGCTGCATATTCAACTGGCCGAGGCGGTCTACCGTCCGGCGGCGGCGGTCTACCGTTCGGCGGCTGAAGGACGAGTCACTAGGGGGTTATACACTCTCTGAGGCCTCAGACCCCCCTCTGAGGACGGGTCGGACCCCTGCCTTGGCGGCACAGAGGGTTTGACTCTGACTCTGTGCCGCCTCTGTGGCCTCTCTTGGCTGATTTTGGCCTCAGAGGGTCCCCGGCCGAGGGTCTGTCTTGGCGCGGCACAGAGGGCGTTGACCTCAGAGGGTAGCCCCCTCTCGGCAGACAGAGGCGAGTCGCGAGAGCCCCGGGCGGAGGCCGGAGCGCCTAGCCCTCCACGAACGGCGCTGACCAGGGAGGGCGGGGAGGGGGCGGAAGCAGCGAGCATGACTAAGGCGCTACTCTACGCTTGCTGCTGCTGCAGGCTCGCCCACAGCGCCCGCGCCGACCCCTGCGCGACAGCTTCGCGCGGCCAGCGCGCAGCGGCGCCGCCGACCCGTCAACTTGAGTGAGGATGTGCTTGGAGCGGCCGCCCGAGGAGGAGGTAGTGATCTCCACATCCGTCCCCTGCTCCAGCTTGGCCATGAGGCGCCGCGGCGTCCTAGTGAACTCGAACTTGAGGTATCCGAAACCAATGGAAGCTGGGCCTGCTGGGGGGGGGGTTCTCTCTGCTTGGCTGGGGGCTCTCTCTGCTTGGTGGGGGATCACGACAGACTTGAAATACCGCTGAAAACTCCCTCTGAGGAGCGGCCTCGCGGGGCTTGCCTTGGCGTCTCAGAGGGTCCCCGTAGCCTCAGAGGCTGCGCCGAGAGAGGCTGGCTTGGCGGCACAGGCCTTCAGAGGGTCGGCCCAGGCACCCTCTGAGCCGCTCGTGGATGGCCTCTCTTGGCACAGAGGGTACCCTCTGAGACGAGCAGATCTGGGCCCCCTTGCCTCAGACCCCCCCCCCTCTGATATAACCCCCTAGTGACGAGTCTACCGCGGTCTACCAAGTCTACCGGTAGACTGGTGTCGTAGGTTCATTACGGTCTACCGGTAGACTGCGGTAGACTCGTCTACCAAATGGTCTACCGTCTACCCCAGTCTACCCCAGTCTACCGGTAGACGGTAGACGGGCCACCCCTCAGTGCGAGGGCGGCGAGGCACTTAGCTCCGTGCACCCGCCCGCCCCCGCCACAGGCAAGCTCATTCACAACCTGCTCTGCGATTGCCGTATGAAAGAACGACCGAGATACGCTGCTTCTGCAGCCCCAGCCAATTCTTAGTGGTCCAAGTCACCTCATCGAGGTATTGGGCCCGCGTCAGCCTTGTTCTGTACAATGTAGCACGTCCGCCGCTTTCCGGAGGATCTCACGGACCCCCCTCCCGAACCCGCCGAACGACTCGAACAGCAGCAGCTGCACGTCAACGTCCTTGTCTTCCCTGGCGTAGCGATAGAATTCTTAAAATACAAGCCTCTCTCACAGCACACTGGCACGACAAGGGCGTGGACTGGCGCGGACCTGGCACGCGCACCGGCTCACCACCGGAGCCGCAGATGGCCGGGGTGGGCAGCGAGGAGGACCAGATGGAGGCGCGCGGGCACCTCCGAGAGCGCGACCTTCCGTGACACTTCCCGCTCTCGGCCGGAACGCGCATCTGGCTCCACACATCCGAGTCCTTGTGGCAGGCGCGGCAAGTCTGCCAGCGGCGGTTGCGCAAGCAGATCTGGGAGCGGGCCGAGGAGCCGGAAGGATTGGCGCAAAAGCCATCCCCAGGCGGCTACGGCGCATGCGCGGGCTCCGCCTTTGGCCCGCCGCAAACGTCGTCCTTGGCCTCTGGCGAGACGATAGTCGAGATGCGGCGAGAGAGCCATAGAGCCTACGCATTGCTGAGATAGATCCAGCATGACACGGAGCGCCTTTCCGGGCGATGAAGCGACACGCCCCCAATAAGACCGTGGTGAGCAAATTGCGGCGGCTCTAGCTATTGTGGCTGTTGCTAGGCACCGCTCTCCCGGCCGCCAGCAACCCCGTCGCCGCATCCTCCGACAGCGGCGAAGTTCACCAGGGCCCCACCCCGAGCTCGGAGGCGGGTGGCGAGCCAGCCCTTGCGGTGGCGAGTCCGCACGAGGCAGCTGCGTGCAGTAGCGTGGCGGCGGTGCCGCAGTTCCCCACCCAAGTCGCCGTCAGCTGCATGCCGTATCCCGCCGAGAGCCCCAGTCCAGCCGCCGCCGCAGCAATGCCATGTCCAAACCCTGACCAGCCCGCACCGTCCACCGTTGGCATGCATTATCCGACTCCCGCTGACAGTCCCACTGCGGCGTTGCACGCGGCGCAGCAGCTGGCGCAGGCGCCGAAATAGATGCTGCGGTCCCTCTTCCGGTCATTCCGGCATGGAGAAGAAACGTAGCTGCTGCCCGATGCAATACACATTCACCGCTCTGTCGTCCCTGAATAGGCGCAACAGGTCGCGGCCGAGCAGGCTATGCAGGCGCAACAGCAGCTGATGCAGCTGCAGCAGCAGCAGCAGTTCATGTGGATGCAGCAGCAGCACGTGCTGCAGCAGCAGCATGGGCTGTCGCAAGGTCTGGCGGAGCCGCAGCAGCCCCAGCACCAGCACGGGAACCCAAAACGTGAGATTGGCGTCGTCGGCCTCGCACCCGCCGCCGCCATGGCCTTTCCCGTCGCCCAGACCTTCCTGCTCCAACCTCAACCCCAGCCCGGCGCCGCGTGGGATGGCTCCTGGCCCGCCGCGCCCCATGAGCGCCACGTTTGAGGTTGCACTCGACCTATCGCTGCCCCGGCCGCTGAGGCGGTGACGGTCGCGGACACTCCTCCTCGACGTACATGTTGGGTAAGGAGCTCAATGGCCCCACACTGGGACTGGCCACAGCGCAAGGGCGGCGCCGGCAAACGCGCGGCGAGCTCGGAGCACGTTGGATCTCGTAACCGTATACCGTAAGAGTTTTGGCTAGTGCCATTTCACTCTGACACGCTAATTTTGAAAACGTCTCCAACGGAGCTCCGTGTTGCTTCCAGCGCCCTCCCCCGCGCTTCCTGCGGCCATGGCCGATGATACTAGTATGAGAGGGGTCATCTGGCTACCGCGAGAGCGACCCAACTCGTCGACATCGTCCGATGATGGTGCCGCAAAGTCAGCCTTCGGAGGCTATCGTGGGGTCGAGCCGGCAGTAGCCGTGACATGTGGTTCCACCACCCCTCGTAGGCTTTGCCTCTGACCGCCACCGTTCCCAGATGTGACCCGCCCACTCGAGTGCGGCGCCCGGATGCTAGTGCTTGAGAAGACACCACAAACGCGGCACGGCCCGTTTTGGATGTCTGCGGAGATTCTGTCTTAGCACACACAGTGAGTCATTCGGAGTCATTCGATGGCCAGAGTGCGATTGTGTGTGTGCGGGAGTTGGTTTGTGCTTTGTCGGGAGGGAGTGGGCAGGCTGCTCACCCACGTGCACCGGGCCAGTGCTTGCACTTTGAATGCCGTGGGGCTCCTGCCCGTGTCCGGGTGTGGAGATGCGAGGGTCGCCCCCCCTTGCCCCACCACTTTGTGTGTGTGGAGAAATTTACCTTACCTTACCTTACCGTTCCCAGGCTGCCTAATGGGATGGAAAGGAAGGCTGGGAGAGCGTATAGAAGCGTGCCCGACCTCGTCGTGGCAACCTGCACGGCAGCGCTGGTGTAGGCGCGATGAGCGTCGTGCCACCTGACCCGAGACGGGTCGCAGGCGTCGTACCGAGTGTGTCGAGACCCCGTGTCCTGATGTGATCTGCACGGGTGAGTCACGTCGGCATCAAAGGAGCGACGTGCGACCTGTCAGAGCTTGATCTCCGATCTCAGTGGCGTCCCGAGTCGTCTCCGGCGGCGACAATTTTGTCCCTCCCCAGGACGCGCAGAGGCAGCTGCGACCCAGCCGAGTAGACGGGCGCACACCGCGCCACCTGCTGCGCAGCTGCCTCTGGATGTCTGGAAGGCACCGAGAGGGACAAAATGGCGCAAATGGTCAAATCAAGGTTTTGTAACGCGATCTGTGCCACAGTGAAATGGCACTAGCCTTTGTCATTTGTGGGATATCTTTTTGAAACGATGGGCTGCTGTGGCGGGGCCTGGGCCGTGCGGGGACGCCCCCCCCCCCCCCCCCAACCGGACACACGGCGACGCAATCACGGACCGAGCTCTTGCGGCTGTTGAAAGGCTCAAGAGGCGAGCCCGGCTCCAGAACGTCAAGCCGTCACGGCCCAAAGTGTCAGCGCGCACCGGGTCGCGAAGGCGGGTCTGACCTCGTGGAGCACGTCGCACGCGCGGAAGAGCACGAGTCGCCCCCCGAGCGGCGCGATCTCCACCGCCTCGCCGTCGCGCCGCCACGCGCGCAGCTCGCCGCCGCCGTCCCAGCCGGGCGGCTGCAAGTAGAGGATGGCGGTCAGGCGGCGCGGGTTCGAGGCGGGCTCCTTGCAGTCCAAGTGAGGCTTGTAGAAGGCCGCGTGCGCCCGCGAGCCGTCGTAGACCGCGGCCTGCGGCACGGGGGCATCTACTGGCTCGTCCGTCCAAAGCGGCGCGTAGTCCTCTTGCAAGACCTCGCAGGCAGCTGCAGTAGGAGAGCCCACACAGGAGTCAGTGCATGGAGGAGACTGCTGAGGACTACGCTCGCAAGCGGTGGCCTGCAGCGGGAGAGGCGGTCTCGTGCAATCTCGTGCAATCTCGTGCAACCTCGAGCCTGCACTGGGAGAGGCACCGCCAGCGGCCAGCCTCCCGCCTCCTGCACCTCCGCGGGCAAGGCGCGCAGCAGGCGGACAGCGAGAGAGAGGGCGCGGCTGCCGCTCGCCTGTGGAGGAGAGTTGGAGGAGGGGGGGGGGGGGGGGGGGACAGTCGCCACGTGGGCCGGTCCCTACTCACACAGATCCGTCGATCGTGGGCAATCTCGGATCATCTCGGCGAGGTCTCGCCTCGAGCTGGTCTGCACTCAGCCAGCCGATCCGGTCGTTGCGCACGCCTTGCGCCGCCTGGTGCCGCACCTCGGACAGCCTCGCCTACCATCAGCGATGAGCAGTCAGCAGCCTTGCGCCGCCTCGTGACGCTACTCCTCGCACAGCCTCGCCGATCCGTCCATGCTCTGCAATCTCGTGCAATCTCGTGCAATCTCGTGTGATCTCGTGCACAGCCTCGCCGATCCGTCCATGCTCTGCAATCTCGTGCAATCTCGTGCAATCTCGTGTGATCTCGTGCACAGCCTCGCCGATCCGTCCATGCTCTGCAATCTCGTGCAATCTCGTGCAATCTCGTGCAATCTCGTGTGATCTCGTGCACAGCCTCGCCGATCCGTCCATCGCCAGCAGCTCGGAGCGAGCCGCCGCCACCTCGGCGGGAGATAGCGCGCCGTCGACCTACTCACAGCCGTCGGCGTGATCAGGCGCTCTTCACACCCCCGGACCGAGCCAGCGCGCAGCCGACCTGTTCACGGCGACAGCTGTGATCAGACGCTCTTCACACCTCCGACATAGCGAGGTATCCCGCCCACCACGGCGATGCCATCTCCGTGCGACGGCCGCAGTGCGCTCCTCACTCCGTCGGTGATGAGTTGAGACGCGCGGCGCCACCTGGCGGGAAGGGGCGGAGGAGCTCCTGGCGTCGAGTGGCGGTGGCGGTGGCGGTGGCGGCGGCGGCGGCGGCGGCGGCGGCGGCGGCGGTGGCGGCGGCGGCGGCGGCGGCGGCGGCGGCGGCGGTGGCGGCGGCGGCGGCGGCGGCGGCGGTGGCGGTGGCGGCGGCGGTGGCGGTGGCGGTGGCGGTGGCAGCAGGTTATGCGGACGTGGCGGTGCCGAGTGATGATGTGTGCAAAGCATTTGGAGAGTGCAGTCGCGCCGGCATTGCGCCGCCGGCACCGCGGACGCGCCGCCCCAGTAGTCTCCCGACTGCTGCGCCTCTTCGATCAGCTTGCCAGACAGTGCTCGCTCAAACACGGCAGCCGCGAGCTGCTCGGCCGACGCCAGCTCCTCCTGCCGCCGCACTCCGTCCGACAGCAGCTTCTCGCGGACGGCGGCAAGCTCCGCAGGACCGAGGCCTAGGACGGCGCGGCCTGTCGCCGCAGCGAACTCCTCTGCGCTTGACGCGCGCGCCTCCCAGCCGTCGGCCGAGCGGAGAGAGGCGGCGAGGCCTGCCAAGACGCGAGCCTTTGCGGCCGCTGCGAGCGACGCAAAGTCGGAGCTAGCGCAGGTGCTGGAGCTACTGTCCGAGGCGGACGAGACGTTGGAGCTAGCGCACGGACGGCACGGCGGCCGCAGGCGCCAGGCAGCGTCGCGATCTACACAGCGAGCGGTCGAGTGGTGGGCTGAAGCGGCCATTCGTGCAAAGAGAGAAAAAGAAAAAACAGACAGATTGGGTTGTCCGGATATTACCGCCGGCGGGCTGGCTCTGGCTGGCACCGCGCACTGAAGCGCTCGCGGCGTCCGAGCCGGGGCGGACGGCAGCGGTCGCGACGGAGGCGGAGGGCTTGCGCTTCGACAGTGGCGTTCTCAGCACCCGAGAGCACGCCTCCGGCCGAGCCTGCCGACGAGACGATCCTCTGCGGCCGCACGCACGAGCACAACGGCGGCGCCATTGGATGCGTCCTGCCTGCTGGCCACGCCGGGCAGCACTCCTTCACTCTGCAGGGCAAGCGGGCTCGCTGCGTCAAGCGCCCGTTCGACCCGTCTGATGTCGAGGCGGAGGTGGAGGTGGAGGTGGAGACGACGGCTACAAAGGCGGCGTCAGCAGGCTCGGAGGCCACGTCTAGCCAGGAGGCTCTGGTGGCGGAGGCAGAGGGCTTGCGTCTGCACCTCTCCAGCGGCAACGGCACCGGCTACAGGGGCGTGGCGCAGCTCCCCTCGGGCCGCTTCCAAGCGAGGCGAGGTGTGGACGGAAGGAATGTCGCCCTACAAAGAATTTTACAAAAAGAATTTCGCTAGCTCGGGGTGGGTTCTTGCCACGCCAGCCCACAGCGTAGAGAGTCAAGACACAGTCTGCCCAGTGGGTGTGACTCGGCCAGCCGAATGAAAGACTACTCGCGCTCCTCTGCTGCCCTCAGCATTCTCACTCCTCCGAGTTGCTGCCCGAATCACTGTCCTCTCCGCCGCTGCTGCCCTCTCCGTCAGAGGAAGTAGGCGTCGGCGGCCGGCTCGCCCACATCTCGACCTTCTTGGGCAGCAGCTGGTCAGACAGGTCCTCTCCGTGGCCTAGGCAGCCGTCCTCGCCCTTGCCCCACGTGAAGACAGCGCCATCGGCGGTGAGGGCGAGGCAGTGGGTTCCAGCCGAGACAGCGACGACGCGCTGGCCAGTCAAGGCCTCGACCCTCTTCGGCAGCAGCAGCCTCTGCTGGTCGCCGTGGCCCAACCTGCCGTAGCTTCCAGCGCCCCAGCTCCAGACGGCGCCGTCGGCAGTGATGGCGAGGCTGTGGGCGGCTTCAGCCGACACGGCGACGACGCGCCGACCAGCAAAGGCCTCAACCTTCTTGGGCAGCAGCTGGTCCTGCGCGTCGCCGTGGCCCAACTGGCCCCCGCCTCCAAAGCCCCAGCTCCAGACGCCGCCGTCGGCGGTGAGGGCGAGGCTGTGGCCGAGTCCAGCCGCGACAGCGACGACGCGCCGCCCAGCCAAGGCATCGACCTTCTTTGGCAGCAGCTGGTTCTGCTGGTCGCCGTGGCCCAACCTGCCGTCGCCTCCAGCGCCCCAGCTCCAGACGGCGCCGTCGGCAGTGATGGCGAGGCTGTGGGCATCTCCAGCCGACACAGCGACGACGCGCTGCCCTGCCAAGGCCTCGACCTTCTTCGGCAGCAGCTGGTCCTGCTCGTCGCCGTGGCCCAACTCGCCATAGTAGCCATAGCCCCAGCTCCAGACGGCGCCGTCGGCGGTGATGGCGAGGCTGTGGTCGTCTCCAGCCGACACAGCGACGACGCGCTGGCCAGCAAAGGCCTCGACCTTCTTGGGCAGCAGCTGGTCCTGCTCGTCGCCGTGGCCCAACCGGCCAAGGGCTCCATAGCCCCAGCTCCAGACACTGCTATCAGCGGTGAGGGCGAGGCTGTGGCTGCTTCCTGCCGACACGCTAACGGCCAGCGGAGAAGTGAGGCGGGCCGGCGTGTTGAGCCGCGTTACGCCCTCGCCGTGACCGAGCAGCCCGGGTGACTCAGTTGCTGAGCCGCACGACGAGAGCCGCCCCTCACCGTCGATGAAAAGGCTGTGCCGCTCGCCTGCCGACGCCCTCGCCGGCGGGTTGGACTCGCACAGCAGCGCCGAGTAGCACAGCCACCGCACGGCGCACTCGCCCTCTGGCAGCGCCGGCAGCTCGAAGCCGCGCTCTTGCGCCCACAAGCGGATGCCCTCCACCGCGAGTGAAGTGTGGAAGAGGAGCGAGACGGCCGCGACGCGAGCGATGTCGGCGGGGTCGCTGCGAGAGACGACGCGCACGAGGAGGTCCGTGGGGAGGTCGAGGAGGCGGGTGGGCGGCGGCGTGCTCGGCGAGGGCGTGGAGGTGGTAGCGGCGAGGCGGCGCGAGCGGCGGCGCGGCGGGGTGGGCATCGCGAGAAAAAGAAATCACGGGCACGCAGGGGAGAAAAGGGCTTGCATTCAAGCGAGACACCGCTAGTCGGCTCCGCGATGCGGAGCGGTGCATGAAGGCCGGCGAGCCGCTCACGGTGAAGCTAGTCTCCGAGGCGGACGGGACGTTGGAGCTAGCGCAGGGACGGCACGGCGACCGCAGGCGCCAGGCAGCGTCGCGGTCTGCGCTAGCGGTCGAGTTCTTCTTCGCACGACAGCAGCCTCGAAATCAGTGGCCGTCGCCGACGCCACCATACTCTGCGCGCACAGCTGATGCCGCTGGCACCGCGTACCGAAGCGCTTTTGGCGTCCGAGCCGGGGCGTGCGGCCCCCGAGCCTCAAGGGGCAGCGGTCGCGACGGAGGCAGAGGGCTTGCGCTTGCACCTCTCGAGCAGCAACAGCAGCACCGGCTACAAGGGCGTGTACGAGCACTTTGGCCGCTTCCGAGCGCAGCGCAAGGTTGACGGCAAGGATTTCGTCCTCGGCAGCTTCGACACGGCGGTGAAGGCGGCGGTGGCGTATGCGCGGGCGGTCGGCGAGTACCAGCCTCCGGCTCCTCCGGCGGTGGCCGCGGAGGCGGAGGGCTTGCGATTGCACCTCTCGAGCAGCAGCAGCACCGGCTACAAGGGCGTGTTCAAGCACGAAACTGGCCGCTTCGGGGCAAGGCTCAGAGTCGACGTTAGGTGGGTCTCCCTCGGCACCTACGACACGGCGGTGGAGGCGGCGGTGGCGTATGCGCGGGCCTTCAGCGAGGCGTCGGCAGTGGCGGCCTCAGCAGAGAGCCCACCCGAGAGCGCGCCGCCGGCCGAGCGTGCCGACGAGACGATCCTCTGCGGCCGCACGCACGAGCACGACGGCGGCGCCATTGGATGCGTCCTGCCTGCTGGCCACGCCGGGCAGCACTCCTTCACTCTGCAGGGCAAGCGGGCTCGCTGCGTCAAGCGCCCGTTCGACCCGACCGATGCCGAGGCGGAGGAGCGCAGCGAGGGTGCGTCGACACAGGACGGCGACGATTCGGAGGGGGACGTGGAGGTGACGGCAGGAAAGGCGCCAGCAGGCTCGGAGGCCATGTCTAGCCAGGAGGCTCTGGTGGCAGAGGCGGAGGGCTTGCGCCTGCACCTCTCGAGCAGCAGTGCCACGGGATACTTGAGCGTGTGTAAGCACCATTCTGGCCGCTTCCGAGCGCAGCACTACGTGGACGGCAGGCAGGTCGTCCTTGGCTGCTATGACACGGCGGTGGAGGCAGCGGTGGCCGTCGCGAAGGCGGTCGGGCAGGCTCCGGCGGTGGCGGCGGAGGCGGAGGGCTTGCGCTTGCACCTCTCCAGCAGCAACAGCACCGGCTACAGGGGCGTATCGCACCGCTCCTCTGGACGCTTCCAGGCGCAGCACAAGGTGGACGGCAGGCTGGTCTACACCGGCTGTTTTGACACGGCGGTGGAGGCGGCGGTGGCGTACGCGAGGGCGGTTGGGCAGGCGCCAGCGGCAGGAGAGGCAGGGTCGTCGGCAGCGGCGGGCGAGGCGTCCGACACGGACGAGGGCGAGCCAGGCGACGCTGGCGGCGAGGCTGCGGCCGCCGAGGGCAGCAGCGACACGGGCGAGGGCAGCAGCGAGCAGGAGGCTGCCTCCTGCCTCTGGGTCGCTTGCGACCGTTGCGACAAGTGGCGGCGGCTGCCTAGCGGCATGCCAGGCCCGCTCCCTGCCGAGTGGTTCTGCTGGATGCACCCGGACCCGGCGTGCCGGGTGTGCGAGGCGCCGGCGGAGGAATCTGGGCCGAGGCGGGCGCCATCTGAACGCCAAGGGGCAGCGGTCGCGACGGAGGCGGAGGGCTTGCGTCTGCACCTCTCAGGCAACAGCAGCACGGGCTACAAGGGCGTGTACGAGCGCGACTCTGGCCGCTTCAAGGCGCTGCACTACGTGAACGGAAGGCCTGTCCACCTCGGCTGCTTCGACACGGCGGTGGAGGCGGCGGCGGCGTATGCGCGGGCGGTCGGGCAGGCGGCGGCGGCAGGAGAGGCAGGGCCGTCGGCAGCGGCGGCGGGCGAGGCGTCGGATTCGGACGAGGGCGAGCCAGGCGGCGCTGGCGGCGAGGCTGCGGCCGCCGATAGCAGCAGCGAGGAGGAGGAGGAGGCCGCTTCGCCGCCCCTCCGCGCTCCGAGCTGCAAGACGCTCGGCTGCAACCTCCGCCTCTGGCACGCGGGGCCTTGCAGCACCGCCGTCACAGGCAAGCGGGCGCGGGTTCTCACCGACAAGGCGCGGGAGGCGAAGCGAGGCAAGGGCGCGGGCGGCGGCGGCGGCGGCGGCGGCGGCAGCGGTAGCGGTAGCGGCGAGCGGCCGTCCTGTTCGAGCGGTGCCGCGCCCTCACCGCCCGAACAGCAGCCAGGGGTGGCGGGGGCGGAGAAGGAGGACGAGGTTGAGGTTGAGGTGGAGCAGGAGGAGTCCGAGGCGGAGGAGGGGGAGGGGGAGGAGGAGGAGGAGGAGGAGGAGGAGGAGGCGGAGGAGGAGGCGGAGGCGATGAGCGAGGACGAGGTGGAGGAGGTGGCGCCGCCGCTTCAAAGCCCCTCCGCCGGCGCTCCTTCGCTCGCAGGCGGCGACGTGCAGATCTCCGCCGCATCAGGCGCTCCCAAGCCACCCCCGTCATGACTACTGTCAGATGCACTCTCACTGCCTCCCTTGCCTGCGCCGCACAGGCCTGCTGCCCGAGCACCTGCCGCACCAGCGGGCGCTCTGCCCTCTCCACCCCTTCCATGCGGCCGAGAGGCCGGTCGCGGCGCCGGCCGATGGCAACGAGGCGGCCTGCCCCAACTGCTACTGCTTCGCGTGCGACGCGCCCGTGTCCGCGTGCCGCCACTGGCGGGGCGGCGAGCCGAGGGTGCCGGCGCACTGCAACGCGCACGCCGGCAGCGCCGAGTGGCGCACGCATCGCTCCAACGCCAAGCGGCAGCGCACGCGGGCGGCGCGGGCGGCACGGGACCCGCTCGGGCTGGGCTGATAGAATACTGCACGCGCTTGCCGCAGCCCGACGCTCGGTGGGGGACACGGTGGTCGTACGACGACGACGTTGGCGTGTGTGTGGCCCGACCGCCAACGGCAACGCGCCGCGACCCGGGACCCGCGGCCGTTTAAAGAGACATTGAGATCTTTCGCGGATACTGTGTACACACACGTATAGAGGCGTGTTTCAAACGTTTTCCCTTTCCCAGACGCACCGAGCGAGCGCACTGGAGAGTATAAGAGGCGACAGCGGGGACGCGCGCGGTTCAGCCACAGAGCCACCCGCGCGTCGGGACCGTGGGCGCGTGCGCTACATCACCCTCTAGCTTGCCGCCCGCGGCAGCTCGCCGGCGGCGTCTATGCTGCACGGCTCGAGCGGCCGGTTCTTTGTGCCCGAGACCGGCACCGCCTCGAGCTTCCGCACCACCTGGCGGGAGATACGGCCGAGATATGGGACAGCGCCTTGCCGCCCGCACGCACCGACTAGCGCCGCATCTCGGCCAGCGCCGCATCTCGGCCAGCCGCATCGGCTGCGCATCACGGCTATACCACGGCTGTCTCTCGGCCGCTTCTCGTGTGCCATCACGGCCGAATCTCGTCCGCATCTCGCGCGCACCTCCATCCCCTCCGCCACCCGCCCGAACGCCTCGTACCGCCCGTCCAGGAAGCCGGCGTCGCCTGCCCAAAAGAAGAAAATCCCCCGGGAAGGTGCCTGGGAGCCGGCGGTGACCGAACCGTCGAAGGTTCACATCTCGGCTGCCTCTCGGCTGCCTCTCGGCTGCCTCTCGGCTGCCTCTCGGCTGCCTCTCGGCTGCATCTCGGCTGCATCTCGCCGACGAGCTGGATCAGGAAGCGGCTGTCGCTCTGCCCCGAGCCGCCGCCCTTGCCGCTGTTGACCATGCTGACGAGACCCGCCGTGTTGTGCCTGGCGGGCAGCGGGTGCCGCGGGGATGTGAGCCACAAGCACTCGCCGTGTCGGAATGTGGGAAGACATGCCGCTCGGCAGCTGTCTCGGAAGTGTCTCGGAGGTGTCGCAGCTGTCTCGGAGGTGAGTCGAAAGCGTCCCGCGCCGGATCGCGTAGTTGTCGTGCGCGAAGGTCGGCCCCGCGTAGCTCGGACCGCTGCCTAGACCCCACGAGATACAGCCGAGATACAGCCGAGATATAGCCGAGGTGCGGCGGGGTGGTGTCCGTCCGCGAGGCGCCGCTGTACGGTCCTCCGGTGATCTGCCCGCCCTGGACCGTCAGCCCGGACAGGACGGTGTAGAAGGAGGAGCCAGCGTACCTGATTCACAGCCGCAGCCGTGAAGAGACGTGAAGCGGCGCCCGTGAAGCCGACGCCGTCGCGCGCCACGAGCGGGTGTGTGGGCGGGGAGAGAGGCAGCTGTGGCGCACCCGTAGCCCTTCTCACCGGTGCAGAGCGCGCGAAAGTTCTCCACCGCGCGCGGCGCCACCTCGCCCCACAGCTCGATCACGATCTTGCCCGCAGGCCGGCCGCCGATGCTCACGTCGAGGAAGCAGCGCGACGTGACGGCGGGAGGCGAGGCGAGCACGTCGATCGTCGGGCGCCGCTCCTCGTCGAGGACGATCTGGCCGTCGGGGCCAACCTTGCCGACCACGGAGGCGCCGCCGCGGGTTGAGCCGTCCGTCGCTGGCGCGGCAATCGCACGGCGAGGCGGCAGGCAGCGCTGCGTGGCAGCGGCGACGGCGGCGCCGACAGCGGCTCTCCTGGACGCAGCTGGCGTGAGGGCGTCCACGGTGGCGAACAGCAGGAGTAACATCGTCTGTTTGGGGCTTTAGGCCAGCGGCGCCAGCGGTGTACCTCGCGCGTCGCAACCGCGGAAGAATTCTTAAGATACAAGCCTCTCTCACAGCACACTGGCACGACAAGGGCGCAGACTGGCGCGGACTGGCACACACACAGGCTCACCACCGGAGCCGCCTAAGCGACTCCGTTAAGAACGGCAATGCACTCCGCACCATGCACAATGCCGCTCTCCCCGCACGCTAGCTCGTTCACCGTCTGCCACGCCACGGCGGTGTGGAGGACGACAGACAAGCGCTGCATCTGCAGCCCGTGCCAGTTCTTGGTGGTCCATGTGACCTCGTCCAGGTGCTGAGCGTGCCGCGGAAGAATTCTTATGATACAAGCCTCTCTCACAGCACACTGGCACGACAAGACCGCGGAAGAAGAATTCCGGCTGTATCTAGCTCCTCGGCGGCGTGCCGTTCTCCCATCCCTCCCTTGGGTTGTCCGTTTTCTTTCTTTCTTTCCTCGGCCCTCCCTTGCCTGTCCGTTTTCTTTCTTTCTTTTCCTCGGCCCTGGATGTGAGGTTACAACCGACTGCACTCCAAGTGCTCCAAGTGCTCCAAGGGGTCTAACTATTCAGCCTCTTAACTATTCTCGTTGTAGCTCGGCCGAGGCCCTGCAGCAAGTCGCGGATCTCGTTGGCGGCGAGAGCTGAAAAAAATCACCGCCGGAAAAAGCATCCGCGAAGTTGCCTTCCTATCTATCTCCAGTTCGCACCTGTGTCGAGCCTGTCTGCTGTGAGAGAGAGTTCTTTTGTTTAAAATCTATCTCTCTAGTTGCCTCTTTGCGCCGCTCGCTCGCGGCGGCGGGAGACATGGCCGCCGATGCGGCTCGGACTCGCTCGGCGGGCCTCCGTCCCACAGCCGCCCGGGCGTGCCACGGGTCGGCCTGGCTGGCGCTGCGCTGCTCGCACGCTGCACTGCACAAAGCTGTGACAACAAGGGGAGGCTCCTGAGCTTGAGCGTTGAGCAGTGCAGCTGCGGGCGCTCGTGGGCGGCTGTGCAGTGGTGAGAGTGCCTGATTGGGGGCGAGTTGGTGCTGCGCCAGGGTGCGAAGCATGCCCTCTTGCTCTGTGCTGAGGCATGCTGGCTGGCGCCCAACACAATGCCCTGGATGCATTGCTCTACGCCGGAGTGGTTCTCGACGTTAGTTAAAATGAACTCGGGCACGGGACGCGGCACAAACGGGGCACAAAACGCCAGGCAATGAATTGACATCTCCCATGAGTGCGAGATAGGGCTACGTAGCAGTAGGCAGCTAGCCTGTGAGGAGGGCGTCCATAGACACCTCACAAGACCCCACACACGGTCTCGACCGTGCCTCGCCGGCCGGCGAGATTGCTAGAGGTGGAGCAAGCCTGCTCTAGCCTCGCATGTTACTTCCTGTTGTCTGTTGTTCGTTGTGCCCTTGTTTGTACTCTTGGCACCTTGGAGTGCTGGGGGGGGCGACAGGGGGGTGACGCACCCACTGCGGCGTCCCTGCCAGGGCGAACATGAGCGTGCCTATCTGATGTTCATTCAGATGGCTGCCGTCGTCGATGACGACATCGAACGGCTGCCTTCCAGCCTCATCAAAGACGCGCTTCAGATCGGCGGTAGAGTTCTGGTCGCCAGTGTGCATCACCGCGGGCGCCGGCGAATCCTCAGCTCCAATGCTGCCGAATTCGGATCCTCTCCAATCGGCCGCCATCACTGCTGCGCCAGCCCTCTGCTTAACCCACGCTCGAGCACAGTTCGCATCGAACTCCATCACATGCAAGTCGAGCTTGACCCCTGGCGGCGTGAGCGCCTGCCAGATCCCAACGCTGCCACCAAGGGAGCGCCGCTCCCAACCTGCACCGCAACCCAAGCCGATCTCGAATATGCGCAGCGTGCGCTCCTCCTCGTTGGAGCCGCGGCACTTAAGGCGGATGATTTGCGGGAGATGTTGGTGGGCGGCGCCGACGCCGCCCAGGATGCCGTGGGCCGATGGTGCGGAGGAGCGGCCGCTCCCCCTCTCGGGGCGGCCGCAAAACCTGTGCAGCAGCAGCACGCCGAGAACGCGCCTGCTGGGGGTGAGTCGCAAAATGTGAGATTGCGGGCCCCGCCGCGATTACTTTCTCCCTCCAAAGTGCATGTGCCTTGGGAAGGGGGTGCAAGCACACCTCCGCTACTCGGAAGATAGGGTCGTCTGACTCGATCGCGAGCGAGCGCGGGTAGACGGCGGCGTGCGCAAAGCGACGGCTCGCGCGCGACCGCGGGCTTGCGCGTCGGCCGTGCGCGGGCAGAGGGTGCTGAGGGGCGAGCGGTGGCGGTCGCTCGCCCGGGCAACCCGCGCGCGGGCGGCGCGCCGCAGCGGGGATCGCCCAGGGGCGCGGCGCGTGCTGGCTGCGAGCGGGCGCTTGACATCGTTTTTGAGGAGAGATAGCCCCAAAATGATCCGCCACTTGAAGCACACAGTGTGTATGTTAGTGAGGTCACCCACACCTCCCCATATTTCGAGGCGTGGATGCGAGGGGCGGACCCGCATCTCCCCATACCTCCCCGCACCTCCCCATATCTCGAGGCGTAGATGCGGAGCGCGACAGACCCGGGCTCTGACTCTCACACGAGGGCGACACGCACTCGGCTATGGGGAGATGTGGGGGGAGATGTGGGGGGAGATGTGGGGAGATGTGCTCTGACTCGCACACGAGGGCGACACGCACTCGGCGGCATTCACTTGTCTCTCCAGCCCCTTTTGCTCACTCACCGACTGTGGCGCACTCACGACACAGGTGCTCGACCCGCTCGATGACGCGAACAACGCGGGCAAGGGCTGCTACCGCTTCTGCCAGGTGCAGGCGCTCTTCCGCGCGGCGCTCGCCGCCGCCGCCTCCGCCGCTGGCGACGCGGCCGACCGCGCGGTGGCGAGCGGCCAGGCGAACTGCGCGCCGTCGGCCGAGTGGAATCGGCGAGAGTGGGCGATTGAGGGGTTGAGACTGGACGGCAGGTGGGATGCGCCATCGACCTCGGCTCCCTCGTCACTGCGCTCATGGACGCGTCTGCGGGCGGCGAGCTGGCGGGCGACATGCCGCCGCCGGTGGCGCCTGCTGGGGCGTGAGTGCCGTGGGGGCTCGCGAAGGGTGGGAGGCGGAGAGGGGACGCGACCCCAGCACCCTCGCCGCATGCATGGATTGCGACTATGCGCGTCACACGATTCGCGAGAGACAGCGCAGTGTATGCTTCCTCGAGCTCGCGACGTCCCTGTCGAGCGACGTCAGGGCGGGATCTCATTTTGGGACAGCTGTCAGCTCCCAAGACTCAACGATGGGTCGTTCCTCGTAGCTACTAGCAAAGTCAAAAGGATGTTCACGCTCGACCCGGTCACGCTGCTTCGCAAGCTCGAGGCGGAGTCGCCGCCGCTGCCGCAGGCGCGCGCTGCCGGCCTCGGCTGCCTCTCGGCCACCTCTCGGCCGCCTCTCGGCTGCCTCTCGGCTCTCTCTCGGCTGCCTCTCGGCCACCCCTTTTCTGCCTCTCTGTCGGCGACGTACCGGCTCTACCTCTCGGCCGAATCTCGGCGGCGTCTCGGCGGTGCTCTGCGCCTCGCTCTGCCCCTCGCAGGCCCTCGCCTCCGGCCGCGGCACGCTGGTTAGTTTTACGCGCCGTGGTGTGTCGAGTGCCGCGAGATGGCGCCGATGATGTACCGGCTGGAGAAGGAGTACGCGGGGCGCGTCAACTTCGTGCTCGTCGACGGCGCCGACCCGAAGAACGAGCAGCTCGTCTCGCTCTTCAGCGTCGACGGCGTGCCGCACTTCGGCTTCATCTCGGCCGAGCGGAAGCTGCTGCAGACGCTAATCGGCAACGTGCCGAGGCAGGCGATGGAGGCTAGCCTCAGGCGGCTGCTGTAGCAGTACCGGGGGGTGGGGCGGCCGGAAGTCAACCAACGGCGGTACGCTTTTTGTCGCGTTGTTGGGATTCTGTGTGCAGTGCCGAGGGAGTGTGTGTGCTGTGTGGCTGCACATGGGGGTCTTTCGCTTTTTCGCAAAATTTCGGGCAAAACGCGCACTAAAATCCAATTCCAAAGAAAGAGGTCCGATCAGACAGACAGACATCTAGATCTAAAGCCGTCAGCCGGACGATGGCGTATGTCAGCCCTCAGCCTCACTCAAAGCGGCGAAAAAATCCTGTGTCCTGTGACCGACCTGTGTCAGCAACTCGTCGATGGTATAGCCTGGCGGCGGGGCTCGCAGCTTCTCCACGCTACAGAGCCCGTCCCCGCCGCGGCACTCCGGCGCAGGAGCGCCCGCACGGTCGCACACCGCTGGCAGAGGCGGCACGCCCAGGAAGGCGAAGAGGCGGCGCATCGCATCCTCGCACGAGGCGCGCGAGGCGGTGAGCTCCTCCGAGTAGACGTGCAGCAGCGGCGTCGACGGCGCGACCTTGTCCCGCGCGTGGCGGAAGAAGGCGGCGTGCTCGCGCCGGAAGCGAGCGTACGAGGTGCGGTTGGCGCGCGAGCGGCTTGCGGCGCCGGCGGCGGACCAAGGCGGGAAGCAGCCGCGGCAGCCCGTGCGCGCGTTGAGCCTCGCCCACGCCTGGTGGTGGACTGGTAGTAGCAGACTGGTAGGAGCAGACTGTGGTAGTAGCAGACTGGGAGTAGCAAGCGTCTCTCTCTCTCTCTCTCTCTCTCTCTCTCTCTCTCTCTCTCTCTCTCTCTCTCTCTCTCTCTCTCTCTCTCTCTCTCTCTCTCTC